AGTGGTGTATATAAAAGGTGTAACTGCAACAAAGCAGCCTTACCCCGCACGTGATATAAGGATATGGCTGACCAGAAAAATTACGGGACGCAATTTTCAAGCGGGTCTTTCTCGATGAATATAAGGCCAAAAATATAAATAAAGGATATGAAGGTGATGTAGAAGACGAGATCTTTAATATGAAAGTAAAATAACGGAGTCAAACCACGGAAAAAAATTGAGTTATAATGTTAAAAAGAAAAAAACATAAAAAAATACAAAAGTGAATATATTTCAAGAATGGAGATTGATGGGGAGGATTTCAATAGTAAGTATGGGTTGCTCGGATTGTGAAGAATAGAATGAAATGCCTCTCAGAAGGCATTTGGGACAAAAATCCCGTCAAAATAAAAACGCTCAAAAACGCCCTTAAATGAAGTGCTACGGGGATGAAAATAACATTTTGTGAGTGGATGAACATGGGCCACCTGTTGAGCTATTCAAAAGGCAAAAAGAGGCTGTTTAAAGAAAGTAGCCAGGGAGTGAACGGAGAGCTTTGAGAGTAATCTTAAAGTATTTGCTGTGACGAGATGAGCGTGATGAGCTATGTCCCAAGCCCGTAGGATGTTTGTAGGGCCCAAAATCAAAATTTATTTAAATTCGGGCATTAATCGACATTTTTTAAAGAAATTGAGCATTACATTCTATTTTTCAGAGTTGAGAGTTACGATTAGAATGTTTTCCACGTCAAAAAAATGTTAGCTAAGCCGAGAAAAAAATACCAACTCGGTCTCCAGCAACTTTCTGGAGACATGGGTAGGCTCAAAAAATAGAATTTAATTTTCTGATTCCAAATAAGTGTTCAAATATGTATGATGCCTCCCAAGTTTTGGAGTTATAAGACGAAAAGGTTGTGGGAAAAAGACCCCTTTTGAAAATCAAAATTTTAGGGCATTAGCATCAATATATTTAAACAATATGCATATAAAAATGTAGTAAATCATTAGAGGTATCTATTTAAGCATAAAGCATCAATGTAATTCAATTTTAAAGTGGGTATTTTCCCGGTTTAAAAAAGGATATTTTTCATTTGTTTTCGGGTATTTTCAACAACATCATAATTATCCATACTTAAAGATGACAATATCAAAAGAAAGCCCTGGTTCTGAGGATTAAAATAAGCATATGAATAATAGAATGTCAAATTTATTGGGGGAGTTGTAGTGTGATTAAAAGTGGGTATAAAACCAAAAAATGCTATAATACCCCCTTGCGCAATTTTTTAAAAAAATGGTGATCCAAAAGACATTTTAGCATACCTATTTGAAGGTTCTGGTCATTGGAAGCATGCTGGTATAATCAAAACCTTATTTCGATGTCATTAAGGCCCTTTTATCGGAGGTTAAAAACCGGGTACCGCCGGTACCAAAGGTGACGCCCCCAAAAGTTGTCGTAGAGCGTGAATGAGCATCAGAATGAATGCACATAGCTTCCAGCATCACGAAAATAGTAAATAAAGCCCAAACAGATTCATATTGAAAGAACTATAGCCAAATTTCAGTGATTTTTGGCCGTTTTGACACCATTTACAATGGTCCCCCTTGCGTAATTTTCGGCAAAATACAATGCAATTATAATGGCTTAAAACTGACATATATGAATCTCCTGAACAGTGGGAACATTTTGGAGTGATCAAAACCGGGCTCCGACGTTGTTTAAGTGGAATTTTCAAGGGGTAAAAAATTGAACTCTTACTGTGCACAAGCCGAACATGAAAAAAAGTCATTGTAGCGCATTTATGAGTCACGGAATCGATTCTGCTAGTCTCCAGCATCATTTTAAAGGCAAAAAGTAGTAAAATGGAGATAAATTGGGGGAGTTGTGGTTGTTTTTAAATTTTGACATTGTTAAAAACACCCCTCTCTTGGGCACTTTTTAGAAAAAAAATGGTAACGTAAAAACACACCGAAACAAATATATTTGAATCTACTGGTCTGTAGTAACACTTTGGTATGCTCAAAACCTTGGTCCGATGTCATTTAGATCCGTTTGTTGAATGATAAAAATTTTGTCGGTTCAAGGTTGTATGCGGGGCCATAAAAACGAGGAGATATTTTTAAAAGTCATTGTGAAAGAAAAACTGAACAAAGTTAATGAAAGAGGTAAGCGAAAGCATGGTAAATGCACAAACGGATCCTGTATTGGGTGAATTGTAGCGGTAGTAGGTTTGGTGGCGTTGCTGATACGTAGCAGTTATATAGAAACAAGCTTAAAAAAAAAAAAAAAAAAAAAGGCGCCAGCAACAAGAAAAAGCGTATCTAAAAAGGCCAAAAGATAGGAAATTGTTCAAAAGCATACTGGAATGCTTTAAACAAAACGGATGGACATGCTTAGAGCAGCTAGCAATGATTATGCGTATATTTTAATATGCGTCGGATGTCCAATCGTGTATTTATAAGAGAGGAGAAAGGGCAAAAGGTCAAAGTCAAAGAAGGAAAGATAATTTATTGAAAAGAGCAGGTTGTTAGGTAGCGAATGGAGTATTCAAAGGAGGATTTTAGTTGTTATTTTGGAGATTGAATTGGTTTATTTATGTTGGTGATAGTGAGGAGAAAAAAGGTTGAAGTGGTGTATATAAAAGGTGTAACTGCAACAAAGCAGCCTTACCCCGCACGTGATATAAGGATATGGCTGACCAGAAAAATTACGGGACGCAATTTTCAAGCGGGTCTTTCTCGATGAATATAAGGCCAAAAATATAAATAAAGGATATGAAGGTGATGTAGAAGACGAGATCTTTAATATGAAAGTAAAATAACGGAGTCAAACCACGGAAAAAATTGAGTTATAATGTTAAAAAAAAAAACACATAAAAATACAAAAGTGAATATATTTCAAGAATGGAGATTGATGGGGAGGATTTCAATAGTAAGTATGGGTTGCTCGGATTGTGAAGAATAGAATGAAATGCCTCAGAAGGCATTTGGGACAAAAAATCCCGTCAAAATAAAAAAAACGCTCAAAAACGCCCTTAAATGAAGTGCTACGGGGATGAAAATAACATTTTGTGAGTGGATGAACATGGGCCACCTGTTGAGCTATTCAAAAGGCAAAAAAGAGGCTGTTTAAAGAAAGTAGCCAGGGAGTGAACGGAGAGCTTTGAGAGTAATCTTAAAGTATTTGCTGTGACGAGATGAGCGTGATGAGCTATGTCCCAAGCCCGTAGGATGTTTGTAGGGCCCAAAATCAAAATTTATTTAAATTCGGGCATTAATCGACATTTTTTAAAGAAATTGAGCATTACATTCTATTTTTCAGAGTTGAGAGTTACGATTAGAATGTTTTCCACGTCAAAAAATGTTAGCTAAGCCGAGAAAAAAAAATACCAACTCGGTCTCCAGCAACTTTCTGGAGACATGGGTAGGCTCAAAAATAGAATTTAATTTTCTGATTCCAAATAAGTGTTCAAATATGTATGATGCCTCCCAAGTTTTGGAGTTATAAGACGAAAAAGGTTGTGGGAAAAAGACCCCTTTTGAAAATCAAAATTTTAGGGCATTAGCATCAATATATTTAAACAATATGCATATAAAAATGTAGTAAATCATTAGAGGTATCTATTTAAGCATAAAGCATCAATGTAATTCAATTTTAAAGTGGGTATTTTCCCGGTTTAAAAAAAGGATATTTTTCATTTGTTTTCGGGTATTTTCAACAACATCATAATTATCCATACTTAAAGATGACAATATCAAAAGAAAGCCCTGGTTCTGAGGATTAAAATAAGCATATGAATAATAGAATGTCAAATTTATTGCGGGAGTTGTAGTGTGATTAAAAGTGGGTATAAAACCAAAAAATGCTATAATACCCCCCCCTTGCGCAATTTTTTTAAAAAAATGGTGATCCAAAAAGACATTTTAGCATACCTATTTGAAGGTTCTGGTCATTGGAAGCATGCTGGTATAATCAAAACCTTATTTCGATGTCATTAAGGCCCTTTTATCGGAGGTTAAAACCGGGTACCGCCGGTACCAAAGGTGACGCCCCCAAAAGTTGTCGTAGAGCGTGAATGAGCATCAGAATGAATGCACATAGCTTCCAGCATCACGAAAATAGTAAATAAAGCCCAAACAGATTCATATTGAAAGAACTATAGCCAAATTTCAGTGATTTTTGGCCGTTTTGACACCATTTACAATGGTCCCCCCTTGCGTAATTTTCGGCAAAAATACAATGCAATTATAATGGCTTAAAACTGACATATATGAATCTCCTGAACAGTGGGAACATTTTGGAGTGATCAAAACCGGGCTCCGACGTTGTTTAAGTGGAATTTTCAAGGGGTAAAAAAAATTGAACTCTTACTGTGCACAAGCCGAACATGAAAAAAGTCATTGTAGCGCATTTATGAGTCACGGAATCGATTCTGCTAGTCTCCAGCATCATTTTAAAGGCAAAAAGTAGTAAAATGGAGATAAATTGGGGGAGTTGTGGTTGTTTTTAAATTTTGACATTGTTAAAAACACCCCTCTCTTGGGCACTTTTTTAGAAAAAAATGGTAGCGTAAAAACACACCGAAACAAATATATTTGAATCTACTAGTCTGTAGTAACACTTTGGTATGCTCAAAACCTTGGTCCGATGTCATTTAGATCCGTTTGTTGATGATAAAAATTTTGTCGGTTCAAGGTTGTATGCGGGGCCATAAAAACGAAGAGATATTTTTAAAAGTCATTATAAAAAAAAGAGAAAAAACAAATCCAGCAGGGGGGAAACTTTAAATTGATCAAATAGATTTCGAGACAGGGTAACTCCACTAATTGTGTGGGCAGAATAGCAATGGCATCTTTACCCCACAAACCCTTTCCTAAAGATACTTGGAATTTTATTTTTTTAATCACATATGATATATACTTAATGATTTCAATTATAAATCTTAAATGAACTCCTAAAATTGTATTAGTTTTGTATTAATCTTTATTTATTTTTTTTTTTAAATTCATTTATATATATATTATTTAAATCCCTAAACCCTGTTCTACAAGTGTCAATGCGGTACCTTTAAGGTCGACCTTACGGATCTTGCCGCTTGCTGTTTTAGGGAAATCTGGCACGTAGAAGATATACTTGGGGACCATATAATGACCCAATTTTTCCTTGACAAATTCTCTAAGCTCATCAGGTTTAGGTGCAGATGATTCCTTTGGCCCACCGGCATGGTATTCCTCGTGTAAAACTACAAATGCGGCCACGGCCTCACCGTACTTTTCATCGGGGACACCAACAACAGAGGCTTGAGATACAGAAGGGTGGGCGAAAAGAACATTTTCAATTTCCAAAGGATGCAAGTTTTCACCGCCACGAATAATTAAATCCTTGATACGGCCAGTAACCTTCAAGTACCCAAACTCGTCCATTTGGCCCTCATCACCTGTACGCATCCATAGTTTATTAGTGATGGGGTCACGTACCATTGCCTCACGGGTTTGTTCTGGGGCATGATGGTAGCCCTGTTGTAAAAGATACCCAGCAATGACAATTTCACCCTTTTCTCCAATGGGTAATGGAGTCAAATCGACAGTTCCGTCAGAACCCATTTGTGCCGAAATAATACGAGCTTCCGTATGGGGCATTATGGAACCCACCGACTCACAGCGGCGTTCCAAGGTATCAAAGGGAGTTGTCATAAAGGAAACTGGGGATGTTTCAGTCATACCGTAGCAAATAGTAAGCTGAGATAAGTTGAGGGTGTCAATGACACGTCGCATGAGTTCGATAGGGACTGAGGATCCGGCGCAAATACCCTTTGCAAGGAGTTCGTGGCCTCCCTTTTGGAGTTCATCATGAAGCTCCATTTCAGCGGCAAACATAGTGGGGACACCTTGGAGTCCCGTGCATTGTTCCTGGCGCACGGCGTGCATGGTGCGGCGGGCATCAAAGGCTTCAGCGGCATAGACGATTGCAGCGCCTTGGGAAAAGGCCGCCATATTAGTTAAGATTAAGCCAAAGCAGTGGAACATTGGGACTGGGGCACACAAAAAGTCTTGGCCAGAAGGGTGTTTAGCATTAGTTGCACTTAGGTTTAAGCGTTGACCAATGAGTCTACCATTGTTGACAAGGTTGCGATGGGTTAAACAAGAGATTTTGGGCATAGCAGTTGTTCCTGAAGTGAATTGCATATTATTTGTTTCAGAGGCATATTGGGCATCGATAGAAGGGTCAAGGATATGTTTAATTTCTGGAGCTTCATGGGGGGAAGTAGGTTCATTCCATTCGAGGAAATCTTTAAAGGCTAGGATTTTATTACCATCAGGTTGAGCAGGTTCGTTAACACCTTTTGGTTTTTCAACCACGGATTCCAAGAGAACCACACGTTCTACTGTTGGAAGGATAGTTCCATCAGTTGCAGCACGGATAAGTCCAGTGACATCTTTTGCAGTTTTGCGAACACCTCGAGACAAATGGGATTGGATAAAGAGAGCTTTTGAACCTGAAGAGTTAAGTGCAGCATGGAACTGAGTATCTGTAAAAGCTGGGTTTAAAGGGACAAGGACCGCACCTATTTTAGCTAGGGCCATTTGCATTGCTGGATATTCCCAAAGGTTACCAGCGCAGACGGCAACTCTGTCACCTCTTTTAATGTTAAGTTTACGGGCAATGTTAATACCTAAGATTGATGAGACATTATGAAGGTCAGCATATGAGAGTCGTTTATTTTGGTGGACTGAGACAATGGCAGTACGAGGACCATGTTCTACAGCCAATTCATGAAGAAATCTTCCAGTAGTATTTTCGTAAAGTGGGGTTGAGAGGTCACCAATGACATGGGAGAGTTTAAGGGAACCTTTAGAGGAATCATTAACAACTTGTTGGCGTAGTGCAAGGTCTTCTGGAGATGGAGAATTTAAGTACCGGGATGTGTGTAAGGGTTGAGATTGAGATTGAGATTGAGATTGAGATTGTGATTGTGATTGTGATGATGATGATGATAATGATGATAATGGTGTTAGAGATGGTGGTATTGTTTGTTGTTGTTGAGAGTTTGAAGAGGTTGATTGTTGGAGAGAGCTTGACCAGCGGAGCGAGACGGACCAGCGTACCGAGTACCGGGTAGATTTTGTGAGTAGAGAAGATGCAGAACGTGTTGCCAGCATTTTTATTTTTATTTTTTTTTTTTTTATTTTTTTTGAAATGTGGGGAAGTAGATGATAGAATGTATGTTTGTTTAAATGAATATATAAAGTGAATATATATATAAAGTGAATATATATAAAGTGAATATATATAAAGTGAATATATATAAAGTGAATATATATAAAGTGAATATATATAAAATGAATATAAAAATAAAATATAAAAAATTAAAAGCGAATTCTATTTCTTTTATACTTTTTTTTTTTTTTTATTTCATGATATCGTTTACTGTCAACTTTTTTTTATTTGCGGGGGTTTAGAAAAATAATAATAATAATAATAATAATAATAATAATAATAATAATAATAATAATAATAAATATTGATTAAATAGTTTATTTTATTTCATTTTTATTTCATTTTTATTTCATTTTTATACTATCTTTCTCAATAAATGAAAAAAAAATATTGATTTTGATTTTGATTTTGATTTTAATCTTCAACTTCAACTTCAACTTCAACTTCATTTTTCAATTATCAATTATCAATTTTCAATTATCAATTATCAACTTTTAAATATAAAAAATCCCTATTCCCGAAATCATCAATCAATCAATCAATCAATGAATTATCTTTTTTTTTTTTTTTTTAAACTTCAATTATATTAAATAAAAAAAAAATCTCCTCATATAAATAAATATCGGCACTCATCCGGGATTTTTTTTTTTTTTTTTTTTTTTTTTTTCTTTCTTTCTTTCTTTCTTTCTTTTTTTTTTTTCCCCACAATTCATCATTATCAATTATCAATCTTTTAAAAAATAAATAAATAAAAATAAAAATAAAAAATAAAAAATAAAAAGATCTCCAGAAAACCGCCGGTCACAAAAAACCCGTTAAAAATTGAGCGGGGGTATATATAAGAAAAATAGTAATAGTAATAGTAATAGTAGTGATAATTTATCACTATCGGAACCTCCCATCAACACCGTCAATAAATATATATAAAAAAAAAAATAAAAACTTTTTAACGGAGCTTCTACGGATGATGATGATGACTTTCTCCATTCCTTACAATTTTATTATTTTTTTTATTTTTTCCCTCCCCCCACATACCCGTTTTTTTTTTTTTTTTTTTTTTTTTTCATTATAATCTCCACTCCGGTACTCGGTACTCGGTGCTTACTATTTATTTAATATTTAATATTTAATATTTAATATTTAATTTTTAATTTTTTTTTTATTATTCCACTTCTTCCCGGGTCTTTTACATTTTTCTATTCTCTTTACCAATTATCAACAACCAAAAACAATCACCACTTTCTTTTTCAAGACCCGCCAAACTTCCACCCCCACTTTTTTTTTTTTTTTTATTTATTCTTTCTTTTCAATTTATAATATATATATAATAATTTAATAATTTAATAATTTAATAATTTAATAAAAATAAAAAAAATCTCTTGTTTTTATATTTCATCACTACAATCATCATCTTCACCATCATCATCATCATCATTGTTTTTTTTTTGTTATTTTACCCCTCTCGGTCTCTTGTTTTTAATCCTCCTTCACTCAAAAAAAAAAAAAAAAAAAAAAATCTATCTCTGGAACTACTTCATCAATATATATATTTTATATATATATATATATATATATATAAAATTTTTTTTTTTTTTTTTTTTTAGTTCTCCTCAATCTTTCTTAATAATCGTTTCGGACTCTTGTCGGTGCCATCCCCCCCCTTTGTCCGGTCTTCGGTTCTTTCACTTTTTTTTTATATATATTTAAATATTATATTATTATATTATAATTATAAGAATAATTAATATATTTAAATTTCTTAATGTGGGGGAGGAGGAAAAAAAAAACCCTCCAACCCCGCCTCCTTCTACTTCTTCTCTTCTAATAACTTGTAATTATCAAATATATATATATAAATCAATACCGGTCCATGCACACATATTTTAAGTTTTCATTTAGTCCTGCCTAAATTTATTTTTTATAAAGAAATGACCCGATGACCCGATGACCCGTGTCCCGACCATCTTTTTTTTATTTATTTGTTCATCACAAACCCTTCTCTCCTCCATTATAATATTACCAAGTTGCGCTATAAAAAAAAAAAAAATAAATACACATACCTCAAAAAAAAAAAAAAAAAAAAAAAAAAAAAAAAAAACACCTCATTTATTCAAAATAATAAATAAATAAATAAAAATAATAATAATAACAAGTTATAAACAATGTCAAATTTAGACATCTTCATCTTCATCTTCATCATCTTAATCATATCCATCATCCTTTAATCCTGTCGTAATCCCATCAAAGATACAGGCCGTGCAAGTTCCGGCACTCCTGCAGAAGACCCTGCTCCTGATCCTACTCCTGATCCTGATCCTGATCCTGATTCTGCTGCTGCTCCATTTCCATTTCCATTTCCATTTCCATTTCCATTTCCATTTCCATTTCCATTTCCATTACTCGTAGATGTTGCCAATGTCCCTGATCCATATTGTGTTGTTGACGACGACGACGACGATGACGATGACGATGACGATGACGATCCATACCCTCCATACTGTGCTGAAGAATTAGAATTAGAATTAGAATTGGAATTAGAATTGGAATTGGAAGAAGAAGAAGTAGGAGAAGAAGAAGTAGATGTTAATGTTGATGAAGAAGTTTGTTTATTCTGCTGACCATTACCAATACTGGAACTTGCTCCATTTGCACTCGACTGTGAAGTAGTAGACGCGGATGCAGGTGCAGAAATAGATGCAGATGCACCTGAAGATGTAGGTGCAGAGGCAGAGGCAGAGGCAGAAGCAGAAGCAGAAGAAGGAGAAGGTGAAGTAGAAGACGAAGAAGTAGCTCCAGGGTAACCCAAATGTATTTGGCTATATGGCACAAGTCCATTGGACTGTTGTTGATGCTGATGTTGATGTTGTTGATGTTGTTGTTGCTGTTGGTGTTGTTGGTGTTGTTGGTGTTGTTGGTGTTGTTGGTGTTGTTGGTGTTGTTGGTGTTGTTGGTGTTGTTGGTGTTGTTGGTGAGAATATCCTTGGTGGTAGGCAGCAGCAGCAGCAGCGGCGGCGGCGGCGGCAGCAGCGGCGGCTGCTTGGGCCGATTGTTGTGCCGCCAGGTGGGAGCCATGGTAACCTCCATAAGTTCCAGGAACCGACATTGGATGACCCAAAGGAGGATAATGTGAGAGTTGATGGTGGTGATGTAACAGATGGGACGGCTGATGCTGCTGATGCTGCTGATGCTGCTGATGCTGCTGGTGTTGCTGATGCTGATTAAGTTGCTGATGTTGATGATGTTGATGTTGATGCTGCTGCTGCTGCTGCTGCTGCTGAGAATATGCCGAAGTTTGGCCACCAGCAAGGGCATTTACAGCCGAATCATTGGCACCTCCCATATTACCATTACTAGCAGCTGCAACCACCACATTAACTGCCGAGTTTGGAGATGGGCCATTAGCAGAAGATCCACTAACTTCTTTGATCCACTTGATAACAGCACAATCTCCAGATTCAATATGTCTTGAAATCCATTCATCACTAGAGTTGAAAAACATACCACAGGCTTTACATTTACCAGAAGTGCCATTGCGTTGTTTCTTTTTTGTACCAGCCGGGTACTCGAAATGCATAGCCTTTAAATGGTTCTTATAAGTATCACAACGAGAAAACCCTCCATTTTGATGGCACGGCGGGTCCATTGCTCCCAAGTCTGCAGATGCCATAGGTCCGCCCATATAGAGGGGGCAACGGAAGGGAGCATCTCCGCGGTGGGACTTTTGGTGGCGGTAGAGATCGTTTGGGCGTGCAAAGCCGCGCTTACACACGTCGCACGTGTGAGGACGCGAGTACTCAGCCATGTGGATTGAACGGTGGGTGGCTAGGTTAGAAAACCAACC